AATGTGCAATAACAACATCCCCACCTCTCTTATGATCTCCCTCCTCATCTCTGCCTTCTGGCTTCCCTGGCTTCTTGTAAGTACCAATTAAAATCCCATCTTGTACTGGAAGCCTTTCTCAACCTCTCTTATTTTAGGCTTCCCCTCTCTTAATTATTTCCTTCTTATCCTGGATATAGTCTTTTTATACATATCTGTCTGTTCTCTCCCCTATTAGATTGTGAGCTCCTTGGGGGCAGATACTGTCCTCTGCCTATTTTTCGTGCCCCTAGTGCTTAGCACAGTGCCTGGCACATTGTAGGTGCTTAGTAAATGTTTGCTGACACCCCCACACCATAAAGAGGCAGTTACATCTTAAAGAAGTGCTCCCAAGTAGGTGGTGAGGCAAGCAGAAACCAGGAAACCACAGCACCACGGCCCATGATGCAACTTCCAGCCTCTGACAAAGAAAAGCTAGATCCATGGCCTGGAAGCTAAAGATACTGACTCCTGTGTAGCTTCACAGATTATCTGCCCACAATCCTCTAACTTTACCCAAAAATTCACCTTGAGGATGACAGTTGACAGAAGTCCATTTCCCATATTTCCCATTTTCTTGTTCTCTTAAAAGAGAGACCAGAGAGTGACGAGGTACCCTTAGAGCTAGGCCCACTCCTGACTCTTGGTGATCATCTTAAGCCATTCTAAACAGAATAGTCTTAAGGACCTTCAAAGAAGGAGTTCCATATTCTTTGTAATTTTCAAAAATCCTTAGTAACTTCTGAAAACACTGTGAGATGGGTAGAGTGTTCTACAAAGATAAGCTATTATTGACATAGAATCTCAGAGCTGGAAGGGCCCCAGAGGTCACCCAGTACACATTATACTGAGCACAAATTCTGTCTTACAACATCCTTGGCAAGTAGTCATTGAGACTCAAGGTTCTTAAGTGACAGGAAACTCACTACCCCACAAGGCAGCCCATTTTCAGACAGCCCTGATTATTAAGCAGTCTCTCCTTAGGTCAGAACAAAATCAGCCTCTTTGCCAACTTGCATCTACTGCTCCTGGTTCCACCATAAAGATGGTTCACTCTAGCTAATCCTCTGAACAAAACTCAAGCTTGCTCCTCCTTACCATTTTCTCATTGGAACAGAAAACAACTGCTCTCTACCCCTCTTGTGATACCTTTTCATTAGCTACAAACTGTCTTTGTTTCCCCACACCACTCAGTCTTCCTCTCATTTCCAACCTAACAAGTCAGTTTTTTTATCCTTTCTTACAAAGGCTATCTTTCCCCAAATTTAACTATTTTTATTATTCTCCTCTAGACTTGCTCATGTTTTTCCATGTTTGGATCTGTGATCTACCAACTAGTACTGGTCTTTAAAATCCTTCCATGCCTTCCCATCCTATAAAATTCTTGCCCATTTCCTTCTGTAAATCCTTCACAGAGGCAAGGCATTCAATATGCTAAACCAGAGGCATCAAACACATGGCTGGCCACATGCAGCCCCCAACATTCTTGAGTGTGGCCTAAACCAGACTAAAATATAATTGGGAAATATTTAACAAAATAAATAAAAATACAATAAAACATAGGTAACATTACATTTTAAAACCAAGTCATTATACTGCCTCAGGGATTCTTATGTACAGATTAGCGGCTCTGGTTTCTGTTTGATTTGGACATCACTGTGCTAGGTAACTTCCTTGAATATTTTCACTGTATTGAGGGTAACACTATAACATAACACATTTAAAGGACAGTGCCCCAAGTGAAATACTTCAATGAAATCCTGACCATTGAGGGTTAACTCAGGGTACCTATATTCTATACACCTAGTTATACATTGTACTATTCATTTTTTCAGTCAATAAGCATTTATTATGTATCTACTATCTATCCAGGCAACTAGGTGATTCAGTGGATAGAATGCCAGGCCTGGAGTCAGGAAGACTCATCTTCCTGAATTCAAATCCAGCCTCAGACACTTACTAGCTATGTGACCCTGGGCAAATCACTTCACCCTGTTTGCCTCACTTCCTCATCTGTAAAATAAGCTGGAGAAGAAAATGGCAAATCACTCTAGTATCTTTGCCAAGAAAATGCCAAATGGGGTCACAAAGAGTCAGATATGACTGAACCATGTATCAGACAGTGCAGGCACTAGAAATATAAATATAAAAGGGAGACAAGACAGTCCTTGCCCCCTAGGAAACTTACATTCTACTAGCACCATCTTTATTTTTAAATCACAATACTACAGTGCCAACTCATATTTCCTGTAGTCTGGAGCCTGCTATGGACCTTGAGACTTTTCTGCCAGTTTTGTACAAAAATGACAAGATTCCATTTGGTCTTTGTTCAAGAGAGTAAGGAGATTACCTGAATCCCAGTTGGCTCTCAGATTACTACAAGGACAGGAATGGAGGAAACAGCAGGAATTAATTCTCCATGATGTATGGCCAATGAAATAAAATGTTTGTAAGCCACGTAGCAATTTAGGAGTCAAAACTCAGGCAAGTAATTTAAATTCCCTAGGCTTCAGTTTCCTATTTAAAAAATAAGAGGATTGGACTAGATGGTCTCTGAGACCCTTTTCAACTTAGATCTAAGATCTATCCAACTAAGATCCTATAACCCTTGATTTTAATAGATTTGTCCCTGATCAGCCCTGATCCTATTCTTTAGAATAAGATTAAAGCAAAAATATCTACCACAAAAATTATTTTTAAATTCCAGATTTTTGCATTTATTCAATCATAGGTCCAAGTTGGATAGGACCTTAGATGCCACCTAATCAAGCATGTGCTGGGGAATCATTAACAGCTGTCTCTACAAAAAAAAAAATACAATAAAGGACTCAGGCCATACTTTTAAATTTAACATGCATTATTAGCATTTTCTCTATTGCTTTTTAAAATTCAGACAATCAACAAAACAATAAATCAAGCCCTGATTTATAGTGTTTACTGATTCCCAAGGTATAAATGCTCACACTGAAAATATGATGATTGGCTCTTGGGAGCCTGTAAGAGCTAGATCCAGCACACCACTGTATCTACTTCAAACTCTCATTTTACAGATGAGGAAACTGAGGCCTGGAGAGGTCAAGGGACTTGCCCAATACCACATAGGTAAGTGGTAGATCTGGCATTTGAACTCAGGGCCTGTGATTCCAGATTCAACCTCTGAAGTTCAACATTCTTTATCCTCCCCTCCCCTACGATCTTCCCTTCATGTATCCAAATGATAATATAGTTTACAGTTGGCTCTGAAAAACAATGGACTTGCCAAGTGTCTCTTTTACTAAGAGCTTCCAGATAAATGTGAGCAAAACAGTCAAACAGCCCAGGAGCCAACGAGCCATGTCTTCTGCAGGCAGAGTCAAACAAGATGTCTCCTCCTCTCTTTGCACAGTCAAACCGTCCAGGATCAGAGTATACTGCTTTGGCTTATACTACATAGTTTCAAATATCCAGTGATTCTGAAAAGACTAATTCTAACCTTTAAAGTCATTTAAATTTTTCAGTTTAAATTTTTTTGGAATTCTCATTACCAGAGGTGAAAGAGGAAGAAGAGGAGGAGAGGGAGAAAGAGATGAAGAGAAAGAGGAAGAGAGAGGGAGAAGGGAGAAGGAAAGGGGGAGGGAAAGAGGGAAGAAGAAAGAGATGGAAGAAAGAAGAGGAAAAGGAGGAGGAGGAAAAAGAAGAGGGAGAGGGAAGAGGAGGATAGGGAATGGAGGAGGAGAGGGAGAAGAAGGAGGAGGTAGGTGTTGGAGAAGGAAGAAGAGGAGGAGGTGGTAGAGAAGGGGGAGGAGAAGGAGGAGGAAAAGAAATGAGTGAGGTTTGTTTATGGAAACCAAAACTTCACAACAGATGGGAAAAATTTCACACCTGAGTATCTTCTAAAACATGACCTCATGACCTGGTGACTAGAATTAGACATTAGAAATTCACTCTCTTTCATGGACTGAGATGTCAAACCTTCATGTTATAAACAGAGACCTCAAAATATCTTGCAAATTCACACAATAAACTAAATTGGAACTGGAACATTTTACTAGACAAAGTGTTGTCCAAAATTACATGGATGTAACACTGATGCATAAAAAATTTAAGAAAAATATTTTAATATGTGTCCACATATAAAATATAGCCTTCAAGCTGCATGGAAGGAAAAGACTTCAAAACACATAAACAGACCTCAAAGAAGAAATCAAAATCACGTGAGAACAGAACAAGGCACATAACTTTCCCATCATCCTGTCTGCTACTAGAATTCTACTGCATATGGTCTCAGTGAGCCCACTGAAGATGCATTTGCATCCTTATACATTTTTCAACCACAAAAAGTCATTTTATCTACCTGTGCAATAGAAAGCAGAATAATAAACATAAAAAATAGCAGGATAGTAACTTGCCCCAGGACTATTTCTACTTCAACTCCACCAGATAAGAAGAGAACCATCTTCTACCATCATCATAATAATAGTTTATGTTTATCTAGTGCATTACAGTTTACAAAAATCTTTCTCTGTGAGGGAGGCAGTGGAAATACTATGATCCCATTTTACAGATAAGGAACTGAAGCTCATATGAGAGCTTATCTGACATACCCTAACAAGTCACAGTTGAGAATTGGAATTACAAGTCCAATCTTCCTTCTACCTGACTATTCTGTAACCTCATTTCAGCCATATGTTGTGTTCCATTAGAAATTGTTCTCTTCCTAATTTCTCCATTTAGGCTGACCAAGAAACACCAAATATTGAGCAGAAATAACAGCTGTAGTAAACATGGGGAAAATCTTCCTCACCGAGTTATCCCAGAGAATCCCTTCTCTCCCCACTCAGGACATCTTTCAGAGATGTGGCAGGACAGAAACCAGGGAGGTTGGGCAAGAAAAGTGTCCATCACCAAAACGCAGATTCCCAGCAGGGTCACTGAGCAGCTGACCTCGCCTTGGGAGTTTCAAGTGCAGGTTGTGGACAAGGGCAAGGAGTCCAGGAACTTACCTCTACAGTTCTGCATGTCTCTTCCAGCTGACTGATTATTCCCTGGACTCGGTCATTGCTTCCCACGAGGACTGCAATGCCATCGCTGAGCTCAGACTGGGGAGAAAAACAACAGTGATTGATTCCAGTACATGGTCACTGATCCCCATCCCATGGAGGCACAAAACAGAAGCCAGGCACAGAGATGTTAGACACACACACACAAGGGCGTCTCTATAGCTTGCTCTTGATCTCTCAGGGGAATAAGGAAAGTTTTCGTACAAGTTCCCTGAAGATGATAGCTTCTCCTATGCTTCATGCAGGTAGCTAGGTGACCAGGTGGATAGAGAGCCTGGAATCAAAAAGTTGTTGTTGTTGTTCAGTCATATCTGACCCTTGGTGACCCCATTTTGGGGTTATATTGGCAAAGACACTGGAGGGGTTAGCCATTTTCTTCTCCAGTTCATTTTTACAGATGAAGAACTGAGGCAAACAGGGTTAAGTGACTTGCCCATGGTCACATAGCTAGTAAGTGTCTGAGGCCAGATTTGAACTCATGAATGTGAGTCTTCCTGATTCTAAGTTCAGTGCTTTATCCACTTTATCATCTAGTTGCCTCAGAGTTAGGGGGACCTGAGTTCAAATCTGCCTTCAGATATTTATTAGCTTTGTGACCTTGGGCAAGTCACTTAACTGTTGTTGGCCTCAGTTTCTTCAACTGTAAGGTAGAGATAACAGTACTTGTCTCCCAGGGTTGTTGTGAGGATCAAATGAAACAATGTTTGTGCAGTGCCTATCACATAGTAGGCACTTAATAAATAAATGCTTATTCCCTTTTCTCTTTTTACCATAACAAGCCAAACTGAGTCCAATCACCTGATTCAAGAATTGTCAGGTCTGTAGATATACATGCTATTTGGGAGCTAAATTAAATAAGGACATCCCTCAGTCCAAGTCTTAAGGTATTTTTATTTTATTTTCTCAAGGCATCTATGTTGCCCAAGCATCTCCTCCTCACTAAGGGAGTAGCTCCTTCAGCTTTACTCATCCTGAGTCAGGCATCGTGGCTTACGCTTATAGTCCCTGCTCTTGGAGTAGCTGAGGCTGGTGGACTGCTTGAGATTAGGAGTTCTGAGTTGCAGCTGAGTGGATATCCACACTAAGTCTAAAACCAATACAGTGAGTCTCTATGGGCAGAAAGTTATCAGATTGCCTAAGGAGGGCATGAACTGGCCCAGGTTGGAAAAACAGAGCAGGTCAAAGCCTCTATGCTGACCAACATTAGGATTGGGCCTATGACAAAGAAAGGAAGGAAGGAAGGAAAGAAGGAAGGGAGAGAGAAACAGAAAGAAAGAGGAAGGGAGGGAGAGAGGGAGGAAGGAAATTTAATCATGAGGTTAACTCTATCTCCATTGTTCTTTTCATGGTGCTATTCAGTTATAAGCACAAATCTGTCTTCCACAATTACTCATGTAGCCTGGTCATTGTCATTCACCCAGGATAAGAGACCATTTTCAAAGACTGGGTAATAAAGAGGGTTCTTTCATGTTCCTACTCATGAAGTCATCGAGTTGCTTAGAACATGCTGAGAAATATTTGGCAATCAGTTGGTTAGAGAACGGTGTGAATAAGGACACGGCCAAATCTTCCCATGGTCCAGTTAGCCTCTCTCTGATCGATGGTCTAAGTCTAAGCAGTCATAGCACCGGTGGGATCACCTGATCACACAGAGGAAGCCTGGACTAGATAGTAAAAACCAGTCCTGCTCCTGAGGAAATCTAATACTAATGATGGTTATCTTTATACAGTCCTCCCTTCCACATTCTGACTTTCCCCATTGCAATTTCAATGTATCTCAGATTGGCATAAGAAATTAACGGAAATTTTGGGGGGAGTTTTGCAGAAGCCACAGATGACACGGGAAGGCCAGCAGACGACACAGAGCCTATGACAAATACTTAACTCAAATTTCACAATAACGTACTGTAAACATCCCATAAAAGAAAAAGAAAAATTCAGACTACTGCTCTGGCATGAAGGGAGGGCCAAAAAATATGCAGATTTTCCAGCTCATGACGGGCACTGCTCTACTAGCTCCAGCAATGTGGAAGGGATCACTACAACATATAGAAGACAATGCATCAAAGCGAAGCTAATAAAATAGTCACTTTTAGAAAAGAAAGAGACAAGAGAGTATCTGTGAGATGTGGTACAGCTAAATGAATGCCAGGCACATAGCTCTGACACCTACTAGCTGTGTGACTATGGGTAAATCTCTGAACCTCTCAGAGCTCCACATAGCTCACTGAGACTACCAATTACAGAGGAATTAAGATCTTTAGAGAGCTAACATGTGACAGCCGAACCCCAAGTGTGGAGTTAGACAGAGGAAAATCCTAGATTTTAGATAAGTTTAAATCCCATCTCTCATAATACCTGTGTGATTCTTAGGAAGTCACTCTCAGTCTGCTCATCTGTAAAGTGAGGGGGTTGGGGTAAATGATGCTCCGGCTTCCAGCTCTGAGCATTTTCCCTGACTGTTCCCCATGCCTGGAATTCTCTCCCTCCTCATCTCTGCCTCTTGGCTTCCTTCAAGTCCCAGCTAAAAATTCCACCTTCTACAGGGAGCCTTTCCTGACCCCTCTTATTTCCAGTGCCTTCCCTCTTTTGATCACTTCCTATTTATCCTGCACGTAGCTTGTCTGTACATAGTTGTCTGCATATTGTCTCCTCTGTTAGTCTGTAAGCTCTCTGAGGGCAGGGGTTGTCTTTTGTCTTTCTTTGCTCAGTGCTTAGCACAGTGCTTGGCATATAGCAGGCAGTAAATGCTTGTTGACTCAACTATATCTATTATTCTATTAATGTTGGCTTAGAATTATTTACTTAGTCCAGTTCTTGGGCAATAGGACTCAGAAAAAAATTGTTAGGAAAAAAAAACATTCATAATGATTTAGGCATTAATTACAAATTGAAAACTGTGATGTTAGTGTGGTTCTGAAATAGCTTTGTGTGGTGTCAGTCTGGTTCTGAAATAGCTTTGTCTTCCAAATTCTGTTTTCCCCTTTGACCTGGCACATAAGAGAGCCATGCTTCAGGGATAGAATAAAACTATAGTTTTAGTACTAGCTATATTTATATGGCATTTCTTGTATCTATACTTTTCAAGACTGGATTCCCAAGAGCACTGGATTGCAAGTCAGAATTCCCAGGTTCTCCTCTTGGCTCTGCCACTAACTAGTTGATAAGATCATAGATTTGGAACTAAGGAGAACCTCAGAGGTCATCTAGTCCAACATCTTCATTTTACAAATAAGGAAACTGAGGCCAACCAAGACAAAGTGATTTTCCAAGAATTACCCAGGTCCTCAGACTCCAAATCCAGTATTCTTTCCCTTGAACCATAACAAACCACCTTGGGTAAACAAAACACTTAGTTTCTCTGGGTTTCAATTCTCTTATCTATACTACCAGAAGTGCAGACCAGGTCAACCCTAAGGTTCCCTCCCGCCCCAAATTCCATAATTCCACAATTGGTCATGAGAGTGGCAACATTCATAGGGGGCTAGCCTTGGCATCAGAAAGACCTGGCTGCAAGTCTTGCCTCTGACATACATATGAGCAAATGACCATCAGCAAATATATGGGCAAATGCACAGGCAAATGATCGTGACCATGGGCAAATTCCTGAACTTCTCAGTATTCTGGGCAACTCTCTGAGACTAAACCAGTGGTGCCAGACTCAAATAGAAGCAGCAGACACTAGATTGTGCATAAGGATTTCTGTGGCCTGCACACTGACTTAGAGCACCACATACTAAGATTATCTATGCTCTCTGATATTTTTACTTATTATGTTATATATTTCCCAATTACATTTTAATCTGTTTCTGCTGTCTCAGGGAGTGTTGCCTGCAGGCTTTCTGTTTGACAGCTCTGCTCTAAATTACAAAGGACTTGCTGTGTTTATTAAAGAGGCAACATGGTGTAGTGGATAGAGCACTGGACTCAGTTAGGAAGACCTGCGTTCAAATGATGCCTCAAATACTAGCTACGTGACCCTGGGCATGTTCTTCCATAGTGTCAGTTTCCCAGTTTATGACCAAGAGAGGCATAAGGACATAGATATTTCATCTAATTTTAAAGCAAATTTTGGCTTATCCTTCTTTTTTTTTCAACTGGGTACCACCAACTCCAACTGTCCTCTATTTGCAGGACCTAGAAATGAATGGTAAGTAGCCCTTGGGGGAGAAGCTTCCCCTTAGTCTTTTTTCAGCCCTCTGTCCCCAACTTAGGGGATCCCACTGAGACCCCACTGAGGTAACCAGGTGGGAAAAGTGACATAATAGTTCATACTCCTTGGATGAGCTGAGAGGCACCAAGTACAAGTCTTCAGGCAACATGGAAGACCACCAGCCTTACCATCTGCTCAGCCACTTCTAGACCTTTAAGCACTGTTATCCGACCTACTATGCACCCACCCTAAGGGCCCCTAGGCCTTGCCATTCACTTCATAGGCTTCAGACTTCTGGGTCTTTCCATTTGCCCTACAGCTGACTTTACCTATTGTCTTCTCCAAATGTGAGTTATATAATCTTGTGGAGAGAAGAAATTGTCTTATATTTTTTTTCTTTGTATCCCCTGAATTTAGCAAGTGTTTGACACAGTGTAAATGTTTAGTAAGTGCTTTTTTATTCATTCATTTTTCTAGCCCTCTCATCATTTCAGACATAAGGTTATGGAGGCCCAGAGAGGTCAAGGGACTTAACCATATTCACACAGATCATTATCAACACAGCCAGGATTTGAACTCAAGTCTTCTGATTCCAAATCCAATGTTTGTTCTACTACACCAAAGTGGCTTTTTGAGGAAAAGGGAATGCATCTTTCAGTTGTGACTGATATAAAATGACATACAGTTGGCGGGGAGCATAAATACCTCTTTTTTTGCTTTCTTTCTTTCTTTCTTTCTTTTTTTTGTTCCTAGTCTGCCCCAAGGGAGAGCCTAGATTTTCCTGGCCCTGAATAGGTTAGTTCCTAAAAACTTCCTAGCCCAGGCAACCACATCATACTACCTAAATCAGCAGGACTCAGCCCCTCAGGAAGCTTGGCCTGTAGCAAAGCTCATACCTGCCAAGCTTTCTGAACTTGCTTTCCTTCACAGTCTGGGTCCCCCTGACCTGCAATATTGGGAAGTAGAGGCTACAAGGCGAGGTTACATGGGGAGAGATGAGATGGAGCTATGGCTGTCCTTACTTACTTTCTGCCTCTGGAAAACATGTGTGAGGGGAGCCACCTGACAATCTTTGTGAGCCCCAAAGACCTTGCACATGGAGCAGGTAGGTACTTCACAGTTCAGGCAATAAATGTTGATGCGCTCATCTTCATGCTCTTCACACATCGGCTGCTCTGACTTTCTTTCTGGCCTGTGAAAGAAACATTCAGGATAAATATGCCCCCAACTTCCACTTTTCCAGGAGTAGACTGGGGCACTGCAGATAGCCCAGCCCTATCCCTGTGTCCCCTAGACTCGTCTAAACAGCTGTCAACAACACGCCACCTACTATGTGCCAAATGCTTTACAAATATTATCTCATTTGGTCATCACAGTGGATACTATGATTATCCCATTTTGCAGCTGAAGAAATTAGAGGCAAAGCAACTTGCCCAAAGTAACAGTTAGCAAGTATCTGAAGTAGGATTTGAATTCAGGCCTTCCTGATTCTAGGAGCTCAGGAATATTCTGGAGACCTTTTTATACTAACAGACTACTCTCCCACAGGCCCTTCCCCAGGAGTCCAGAATTACATTCCCTATTGTGGTCAATGCTAAGACCATGCTAAGTCAATAAGTTCCTACTATGTGCAGGCTCTGTGCTAAGGATACAAAAAGAGGCAAAAGACAAGTCCCCGCTCTCAAGGAGCTTATGTTCTAATAAGGCAGTCAATAAACATATACAAAAAAGTCATATACAGGATAAATAGGTAATAATTAACAGAGGGAACACACTAAAATTAAGAGGGGTGGGCCAATCAGTGCTGTGAGTTTTGATTCCATGTCTCCTAAATAGAAGTTTCTTTTTTCTCTCACTTCCTCCTCCCCACAAACAAAAAAGGAAAAAAAAATCCTCATAACCCATATAGCCAAGTGAAGCCAATTCCATTATTGTCCATGTCCAAAAACATACGTTTCTTTCGGCACCCTGATTCCATCACCTCTCTGGCAAGAGGTGGGGAGCCTACTTCCTCTTCAGTCCTCTGGTTATTGCAGTTAATAAAAGTGGAACATCTCCCCATCCCAAGTCTCTCGTCCCTTGAAACACTCTCATCCTTCTCTCTTGTCAGGTAATTATTAGCTGAGTGACCTTGGACAATCACTAAACCTCTCTCAACTTTGGAGGATAACAATAACATGTACCTCTCACAGGGATGTTGTGAGGATTAAGTGAGATAATCTGTGGTCTTATGGAAAGCTCTTAGAAACCTTCAAGTACCATGTTAATGCCAGTTACTATTATTGCTGTTATTATTTCACTGCAATGCCCAGATCTCAGTTTAACCAACAGTTTTAGAGACAAAGGTTTTCCCAAGGTTGCTGGCAGGCACACACCTCTGATGACTGAAGTCCTACTGTGCTAGTTCATCAGTGCAATGACCTTGGGCTTCCAAGCTCATGACAACAGAACACAAATTCCACAATCTGGAAAGGCTTGAAGGAAGGGCCCAGAGATGAATTGTGCATTTGTCATCTGATGACTAGTCCAGCTAAGTCTGGAGAGGTTCATCAGCAGAAGGTTGGCTACCAGGTGATGATGAATCTTTTGGCCAGAGCAACTCATAAAGCCCACCTAATAAAGAGTGGAAGGCTTACAATCTGGAGCTAGGGAGGGAGTATGGCTACAAGTAAAATCATGGATCCGTGGCGGCGGGGGGGGGGGCGGGCGGGCGGGAAGGAATAAGCATTTATTAAAAACTTACTATCTGTGAAGCACTAAGCTAAGTGCTTTACAAATATTATCTCATTTGATCTTCACAACGAGCCTGGGGTTTAGGTGCTAATATTAGCCCTAATGTACACTTGAGGAAACTAAGACAGACAGAGGTTGTGACCTTCCAAGAGTCACATAGCTAAGCAAGAATCTGAGGCTGGATTTGAACTCAGGTCTTCTCGACTCCTGCGCCAGCACTCTACCCCAACGGGCCTTCTAGCTACCTCATGGCTCTCCAGAAATATCAGAGATTCATCCCTGATGAAGACACTCACCAAACAAGGAAATAACCAAAAGACTAGGAGCCCAAGTGAAAAAGGATCAATAAGCATTACCTCTATAATTACCCTCCTGGACTTCTCTTCTCCTCTCCTCTTTTTTCTCTCCTCTCCTCTATTCTCTTCTCTGCTTCTTTTTTTTTTTAAACGGGATCCATAATTGCATTAGTATAAGGAGCTCAGCAACTGCTCTGTGACTACAGCTTTAGGAAGCTGCCTAGGAGTACTGAGAGTACTGAAAAGTACTGAGTCTCAATTTTCTCAACTACAAAATGGGGGTACTACCTACTTCTCAGAGGATACTGTGAGGCTCAAATATCTGGTGTTTACCAGTGCTAGTTCATCAAGTACCACAAGCTTACAACCACAGATTTCCATATGAAGAAAATTTATTATTATTATTATTATGGGTTGTTGCTGTTCAGTCATATCCGATTCTTCATGACCCTTATGGGGTTTTCTTAGCAAAGATACTAGAGTGGTTTGCCATTTCCTTCTCCACTGGATTAAGGTAAACAGAAGTGAAGTAACTTGCCCGGGGTCACACAGCTAGTGAGTGTCTGAGGCAGGATTTGAATTTAGGTCTTCCTGACTCCAGGCCAGGCACTCTATCCCCTGAGCCACCTAGCTGCCCCATTATGATGATGATGATGATGATGGTTACTGATTCCTATATGAAGCTACAGGAATATAACTACACATGCCTAAAAAATTTTTAATTTCCTGATTAGATCTTTGTCATGCACTTATGAACCAAGGGGTCAAAAAAAGGGGTTCCCCAAGGTAGAAATAAGCATGATACTTTCCATGAGTTGCCTTGATTTGTCATTCAAAGTAGTCCATCTACTGGCTGTGCAAGGGCAAAGGCAGAGGCAGCAAGAAAGACATTAAGGCATATTTCAAAGGCTCTATTCATAAGAATGGGATTATCTATAAGTAATCTTGAAATTAAACCCAGGAGAGATGGGCATGTTCACCTTTTAGGCAAGAGCATAAGGTAGCATATTTTTATTATATCTATCCACTCTCTAATCTTCCTGTTCCCCTCCCCCCCAAAGTAATGTCAAAGGGAAAAAAATGACAAAAACGTGAGAAAGGCCAAATAATTGAGGTAATCCTACTGTGAGCAAATGATCTCCAGTGAGCATCTACTTGAAAGGTCCTGGGCAGCTAGATGGCTCAATGGATAGAGTGCTGGGTTGTCATCCGTCCTTTGTTCTCAAAGAGGATCATGACATCAGAGAAGTGAGGCTATGACACGCAAGAGAAATGGATTTAAGCGAGGGAGGGCTGTGCAAAGTCACCAGCCTCACATTCTCCTCTGGAGTCATTTATTTGGGTCCAGTGGTCAGATATGGATCAGAATGACTGCAGATGCTCCTGGATGCTGTGGGAGACCTTGGCCTTTTTAAGCTAAGGTCTTCCAGACTATCTTGCCTTTATTTGTACCCTCAATGCTTGGCATGGTGCCTGGCACATAGTAGGTGCTTAATAAATGTTTATTAACCCACTGACCATAGTTTCAAGGTTATTATTAATGCCTGGTTAATTATTAATTTCCTTGCCACCACCACTACCCTCAGCTGTCCCCTGAATTATATTATCTAAGAATAATATTAAGCAAATAATTTTGTCCTACGTCTTCAAAGTTACTTAATGCTCAGGTCCTGCTCTGGCTATGTGACCCTGGGTGAGTTACTTAACCCCTTAATACCTGGGGTAACTCTCTTACAAGCAAGTTTCATTGAAAACACTGATCCCTTTTGACAATCCTGTGACTTCATTGGAGGAGAAAACTCTGGAGACAAAGCTTCTTTTACCAATGTGAATCTACAACTGTTCTAAAACCCAGTTACTTGTCCAGGGTCACACATATCTAATAAGAAAGAACTTAATAAATGCTTGTTCAACTGAACTGAGCTAAGTAATAATGACAACTTGCACTGATGTAACACTTTAAGGCTCACAAAGCACTTTTTCACAATGAACCAGTTAGTACTAGTATTATTATTCCTATTTTTAAAATGAGGAAATCATATAGTTAGTATTGAGTATATAGTTACAGTATATAGTTAGCATTTATATTGAGAAACCTAAATATGGCCTGTCATATACTCATTTATTTATATGTTGTACGTATATTTCAATGGGAAATTCACTGGATCATGGCTCTGTCATTTACTAGCAGGGTGACCTCAGGCATGTCATTTAAGTTCTCTGGGTCTCAGTTTCCTCATTTGTAAAATGAAGGAATTGGAGTGGACGATCTCTGTGGTCCCTCCTACCTCTGCATATTTGAAGATGGAAAGAGGAGAGGATTTGAAAAGGTCCCTTCTATACAATTTCTTTATGGTTTAATAATGGCACTTGTTCATGTTTGCTTAAAATCTTAAGAGGTGAGGGCTTATAACACTTTTTAATTCAATTCCATCAACATTAATTCCGTGCTTCTGTTGTGGCATGCCCTGTCCTAAGGACACAGGACGTTAAGATGAAAACTGAAATGTCCTGCAGTCTTTAGTATTCTCCTCCAAAACCGAATACCATTAATAAGTCATTTCATTCTCAAGCAGCACAACAGCACCACGATCAAGCTTTGTGGAAGACATGAAGCTTGGGGAGGCAGCTAACACATGGGATGACAGAGTCCAGACCCAAAGCAAGTAAGTGCAGGTAACGGTGTAGAGAAGTGAGCTCAGTCAAATAAGATGGCATTTCATAGGGATAAACCAAGTTCTACACTTGGGTTCCAAAAGTCATTCCAAAAAATAGAGCACAGGGAGCCACAGCAGGCATGAGGTCCTGAGAAAAAAGATCTTGGGATTTTAGATGACTGAAAGTTCAGTGAGGCAACTCTCCCTCCCCCCACCCCCAAATCTAATGGCCTACTAGGCTGCATTAAGAGGTATAATGTCCCAAATGAGAGGGTAAGAGTTCTGCTATACTTTGCCCGAGTGGTCTCCCCATCTAGAATACCATCTTCACTTCTTGGCACCAGGTTATAGGAAAGATATAATAGACAAGCTGACATGTCCAAAAGAGGGCAACCCAGATGGCAAGAGAACTGGAGAATGAATATGCCATACAAGGAAGGGCTGAGGGAACTGGAATGCTTAGCATGGAGAATGGGAGACTTAGGGGAGTACATGACAGCTGTCCTCACGTATCTGAAAGGCTGTCTTATCGAAGACAGAATAGACTTGTGTTACTTGGATCCTGAAGGCAACACTAGGGACAGTTGGTAGAGGTTGAAGAGCAGAAGATTTCAGTTAGATGTAGTATATAAAGCTTCTCACCAATTAGGGCTACTCAGAAGTGGAATGGATTACATCAGGAGATAGTAAATTCCCTGCCATTAAACATCTTCCATAAAAGAAGGCATAGGTGGTACAATGGAATATACTGGGCCTAGAGTTAGGAAGACCTGAATTCAAATCCAGCTGCAGATACCAACTGGCTATGTGACCCTGAACAAGTCACTTAACCTCTGTTTGCCTCAGTTTCCTCATCTGTAAGATGTAGATAATAATAGCACCCACCTCCTAGGTTTGTTGTGAGATGATTGTAAAACACTTATCATTGTACCTGGCATATGGTAAGTACCACATAAATGTTAGCTATTTTATTAACATATTACTTAATGTTTGTTTCCTTCTTTCCTTTCCTCTAAAAGACTGAATGGACCTATATGTACAAAAATATTTATAGCAGCTCTTTTCTGGTGACATAGAACTGGAAATTGTGAGGATACCCATTAACTGGGGAATGGCTGAACAAGTTATGGCATATGAATATAATGGAATACTATTGTGCTACAAGAAATGATGAGCTGGCAGACTTCAGAAAAACCTGGAAAGACCTGTATGTACTGATGCAGAGGGAAGTGAGCAGAACCAGAAGAACACTGTACACAGTAACAGCAACACTGTGTGATAACCAACTTTGATAGACTTAGCTTTTCTCAGAAAAGTCTAAAAGACTCATGATGGAAAATACTATCAATATCCAGAGAAAGAACTATGGAGTCAGAATGCAGATTGAAGCATACTATTTTCTCTCTTTTTTTGTTTTTTCTTACTCGTGGATTTTCCCTTTTGTTCTGATTCTTCTTTCACAATATGAAATGTGGAAATGAGTTTAATATGACTGTACATCTATAGCTTATATCAAATTGCATGCCGTCTTGGGGATGGGGTAGAAGAGGGAGAGAAAAAATTTAGAACTCAAAATCTGATACAAGTGAATTGGAAACTAAAAATAAGTAAATAAATAAATAAATAGAATTTTAAAAAAAATTATGAGTAGGATGCTCTCAGAAAAACCTAGACTTACACGAACTGATGCAAAGTGAAATAAGTAGAACCAAGAGAATATTGTACACAGTAACAGCAATATTGTAAGATGATCAACTGTGAATGACTTAGCTATTCTCAGCAATACAATGATCCAAGACAGCTATAAAAGACTTATGATGTGAAAAATGCTATCCATCCATCCCCAGAGAAAAAAAACTAATGAAGTCTGAATACAGATCGAAGTATACTTTTTTAAAACTTTTTTTTTATTACTTTTGGGTTTGTTTTTTTGGTCTATGTTTTGCAACATGACTAATATGGAAATATCTTTTGCATAACTACACACAAATAGCCTAGATCAAATTGCTTGCCTTCTTAATGAGGGTGGGCAGGGAGGGGGAGAAGGAATTTGGAACTCAAAATAAAAAAAATGTTAAAAATTGTTTTTACATGTAATTGGGGAAAAATAAAATATTAAACTAAAATTTAAAAATGAACAAAGAGAAGACTGGATGGCTACCTGTTGAATAGGTTGTAGCATGAATTTTCATTCAGGTAAGAATTGGACTAGATGATCTCTGAAATAATTTCAGAGAAATAATTGAGATTCTGTATGTTCATTAACCTCCTTTATTCTCTTGGGAGTAGTACCTACTCTCACTGGACAAGGCTAGCCAGGATAAATATAATATTTTTTAGTATATAAAGCAGGTGATAATCCTTTCTCAAGATTAATGCCTCATCAGTGCTAAGGGGGTCTTTGTTCTGACATTGAAAACATCTCCTAAAAAATGTTCCAATTTACCTGGCCACTTTAATAGCACTTTAAGGATCAACTGATTAAGACACAGGCAGGCACACATTTGAGCTATGCCTTAGAACTTGGCCTTTAAAAAGTAGTCTAGAGGGCCAGGGAGAGAGGCATGGAGAGAACCAGAACTGAGATGGCTAGAGAGAAGTTGATCACGGACCTACGGATCCCATTTCCCTTAAAGGGAAGTCCTTCTAGGGAACTATGTAGTCTAAAGAAAGTAGGGAATCACACAGCCCTTAACATGGCAGCAAACAGAGGCAGTGGTGGAGTGGTGAGGGGTTTCTGGGCCAAACCTGGAGCTTCTGAAACAAGAGCCAGTGGCAGGAGAGGGTCAGGAAAGGAGCAACAGAGGACTTCCTGGACTAACAGGACTTCTGGCACCAAGCCTCCTGGACAAAGAGAAGAAGATGCTGGACAATACATCATTTCTGGGCCAGACCTCATAGAAATAAAAGAGTTTCTGGACAACACCAAGTTGCTAGATCAAGCAGAGGAGTTTTCATATCAAGCAAGAGATAGAACTGAGAAGCAGCAAGGAACAGAACTACAAAGTAGAGGTTCAAACTTGGACTTTTCCCTAAACAGCTACTGAAAATTATGTGGACACCAAGGGTCCAGGGGTAAAGGGTTGACTCTTTAACAATTCCAAGTGCTTTCTTCTTGCAGGAGAGACTCAATCCTAGGATAGTCTTATGTGACTGGAGAAGGTCTAGCTTTCTGGACTAGTCCACTGGAGAGGACAGATCCTGGTCTTGGGTTTGAGTCCGATCTGTTTTGTGATTCTTTGGTCAGGTTAAACAATGCCCGTCCTATAGTCAACAAAGCATGGTTAGCTTTTGTGATTGTACAGGAACTAGCACTTAAACATGAGACAAATCCTGATTTTCAAGGGCCAATTGTTGTTGAGGGCAAAACAAGACAAAGAGAGATTTCTCTGTGAGACCCTGGAGGTTGATCTTGGTCTACATAAATCCAAAATTTCAGTCTATGCCATGAATTGCATGTAAATGCTTAGTCTATGTTCTGTACTTTTGAGTTAGTAAAGCAGAGGTCTGTATCCTGTCATTAAGCACCCACAGAATATTGTTGTTGTTCAGTTGTGTTAGACTCTATTGTGATGTGACCCCATGGACTTTGTTCATGGGGTTTTCTTGACAAAGATACTGGAATGGTTTGCCATCTACTTCTCTAGTATGTACTCATTTTACGGATGAGGAACTGAGATAAACAGGGGCTAAATGACTCACCCAGGGTCACATAGCTAGTAAGTATCTGAGGCTGGATGTGAACTCAGATATCCCTGACTCCAGGCCCAGCACTCTACCCACTGTACCACCTAGAAGCCCATCCATAGAGTAGCTGTGGGATAAAAAGGAATGATGCCCTTGACTATTACCTGGTGGACTCCTGCTTGTATATGTCAATGATGTTTTCCACCAGCAAGTTCCTCTGAAGTCCATACACCCCATGTCTGTCCAGAACCACTTCATGCCTGCAGGAGGGGCACCTGAATCGACCACCCGATGCCACTGTAGTGCCTCCTCTCGTTGGCAAGTATGGGTTTGAGGCCTGTTCTTGCCCAACAAAAAAACAACAATTCAATAATGACACAGATAACTTTTCCCAGACCTCTCAAGCCTAAATTTCCACTTTATAAATTGCTCAAACAACCTCAACTTAAAGTTCTAGTATATAAGATTCCCCCAGGGCCCCCTCATATTTAAGAGCCAATATTACTCCAAACTATGTACTCTGGGCATCACAGGTTCCCCCTTTACCCTAAGGAAGCGGTATTACATTCAAATGGTATGGAAGTTTATATCATTAACCTATTTGCTTTACTACCTAAATCTTTGTTTCTCTTCACAAATACTTGGCAATGTAGTTGCACATCTCACTTACAATGTGTCAGGAACCGTAGGACAAAGAGACAAAGAGCTGCCTTATATGACTTGGGAAGGGGTGGGCTAGAAGCAGGCCAGAGGACTTGGGCTCCCCAACCTAAGATATTCATATCCAAAAATCCCAAAGAGGAGCTCAACTTTACCCTAAAGAAACATAAAGCCTATATGAGAAAACAGCTCAAGGCACCCCAGAGGTGCTCCACCTGTGATAAATAATTCACTTAAAACTTTGAAAAATGGATTTATTTCCCTCCTTTTTTTAGGGGTGCTGGCTCTTGGTTTTTGAAATAATGCTCCACCACAGGAAGTGGTAACAGGGTTACTAAGCAGAAAACACAAATAACAGAAATGGACAAACTCCCTCTCCTGCCCCCAGAACAAATCCAGCCCTATGAAATTCCCAACAGGACCTCATCTCCATAGGAAGCACTTGCTTCTGGGTTGCTCCTTCTTCCCCACATGCCCTCCTCCCTGAATAAGCAAACAAACCTACCTGGAAAATGTCACTGGCACACTTTCTACACAGGTTGTGCTGACATGGAAGAATCACCACAGGTTTTGTGAACATCTCCAAACAGATGGGACAGATAAGCTGCTTCTCCAGGGTGTCCATTGTCTGCTGTTCCTTGGAAAAAGACTTATAACTGAGAGATGTACTCATCTCCTTGCCGGCCCTGGGGCGTGTGGTGTCAGTGAAAGGGTGATCCAGATGGATGGAGGGGTAAATCTAAGGGCTGGTTTCCTTGAAAGAATTCCAAGGGTTGTGCACTCAAGTGTCCTTTAGGTTTCTTTGGCCAGAGGACATTGTTTCAAGCCAGGCTGGTTCAGAGTGGGGACTGAGGCTGTTTTTAGCAGCCCCTCATCACATGGTGTCAGGCCGGCTTGTCCATATATGCCAGTGACGGGGGATGGATTCAGACAGGTGACGGATCACAGAGACCAACATTCCTGGCCTGCTGAAGAAGGGAGGAGGTGGGAAGAAGGGTGACAGACTTGTAGCGAAGGGAAAGAGAAGCTGACAGTTGTCCCCAACAAAAGCAAGTGTGAGCCACTGCCTAGTAACGGAGTGAGTGGTCAGTAACTACTTACTGAATGACTGAATAGCTGACCTTCCTGGAGTAGCCCAGGGCACAATAAACACTGTTTATAGTATGGCCCTCTTTCCAAAGTGTAGTAGGGGAGCCATCAAATGGCACATAATAATGCTTTCTTCTGAGGGAGGAGAATCTCCTTAACAAGAAAAAAAGAAAAGAATCAGTCTAGTGCCATAACTTTGGTCATTTAAGAGGGTCTGCTTCATTATAGATACTTACACTTGTTACGGTCCTTGGCTTTCAAATGATTACAAACTCTCAGAGCAGATGGCAACCTGACAAAAATCTCTATAAAGTAAAAGATCTCCAAGCCCTAGTTCATGGGCCACTTATTTAAAAAATATTCAAGATGACAAAACAGCAATAAAAACAAAAACAAAAAAACCAAACCAGGTCCTGGACAGTACCTTGGAACTTGTTGTCACGGGGTTTGAGGCTGGTGGTAAGTTTCCAACTGGCATGCATGTAAGCTAAGGAGAAGGTTATTTTCTCCTCGCTGTACAGCTGGCAAGAGGTTTCGATGTTATTGGTCAGTAATAATGGGAGTACAGTTCTCCTAAATTGAATGTAATCCAAATATATCTCAGCTCCCAGCCCTCCCTGTGTTGATAGCTGTTTTTGAGACACATACAACCCTTTGAACTAGACGCTTCTTTCAGGGTTATTTTTAAAATGACTGTTTCCCAGATTACTTTTGACATGCGACGTCTACTCTCAGGTCAAAGCCATCTGTGCTGGTATTTGCTAGCATTTGCAAAACAATTGTATAACCAGTAAATATTTCAGCTAAAACTTCAAACTCAGAACCACCCATGAAAGGAAAAGAAAAAAAAGTTTGTGTCCGTGGATAACAGTGACCAGTTTATCACTGCCTTTTCTTCTAGGTTCTAAAAATAAAATGAGCCATAGGAATTTATCAGGGGGTGCATTTACTAAAATAAGCCTGCATTCACTTAATAACTGATAACCCAGAATGGCCAATGGTCTTTCCTTTATCCTTATTTGTTGATTTAAGGCTACTAGCATTGAAGTTAAATTCTACTAACATATATTAACTACAAGAAATGACCTCTGGAAATTTCTGTTGTTGTTTTCAGCACCTATACTGTAACACAGTAATGGTCCTAGTTATTGGGACAATTTTTTAAATAATCCAACTAAGGCAGTTCATGAGCCACATTCATTCTATTTAGTGTGCAATGCCAAAGATGGCATGTTAGACACCCTCCAGAAAAGATGTCATCTTTATCTTCCAAGAGCTGGCAACCAGTGCAAAATAATTCAAATTAACAATACACTACATGTAGCGAAGCCATCTATCTATCCATCCATCCATCCATCCATCCATCCATTCATTCAACAAGCATTTATCAAAAGCCTATTCTGCGCCAGGCACTATACTTGGTATTGCAGCTGACAGAAGATGAACAAAACAATTTATCCTCAAGGAGCTTATATTCTACAGAGGGAACATAGCACATATAAAGAGAATTTAACAAACAACAAAAACACACACACATATGGGTACATATGATTGAAAACATTTAGTCATTCATTATTTGTTCAATATTAAGCACCTACCATGTACCAGGAACAGTGGTAGGCATTACAAGGGATATGAGTTTGCCCTTATTAAGGCTATCATTCTCACAATCTTGGTACTTCCTTTTAGTGAAAAAGGACCCCAGATACGTAGATTTAGAGCTGCAAGGGACCTTAGAGGTCATAAAGTTTAACTCTACCACCTCCCCTTACATAAGTTTTACAGATGAGGAAACTGAGGCACAGAGCAGTTAAATGACTTGCCCAGGATCACATAACTAGTAAGTGAAGATGAAGGCTATATCTTTTATGAAAGGTATCTAACATGCTGTCTTTGGTACTGCATATCAAACATAATGAACAAGGCTAATTAACTGCCTTAGTTGGGTAATTAAAAGAATTGTTCAAATAACTAGACCATTATTTTGCTTTGGCATAGGTGTTGAGAAGAACAATAGAAATTTCCAGATGCCACTTTGGAGGTTCAAGGCCCAAGTGTCTTTGGCAGGATTTGAATTCAGGTCCTTCTTGACTCCAAGCCCAAGGCTCCAAAAACCAAACAGTAAAAGAAAAAAGGGGAAAAAAAATCCCATCCTTAATAAATCCAGGAGCTACATCATGGCATTTCTTTCAGTAAACAGTTTGCAAAACTCTAGCTGAAAGCTTTTTTTATTTGAAAATTGCTCTATCTGCAAACTTATTGTTAATAATGTTTAGTTCAGAAGAAAGAGCTCTAAAGAAACCCTGGGAAAGTTACACTTCATGCATTCCTTTAAATATTTCTTGGGCTGATCCATGTGCCAAAAATAAACAACAGCTGACTCAAGAAGAGCCATATTCTGAAATGGCCGGAGCCTTCTTAACTTTAAACCAAAATCTGAGTTGAAATTATACTAAGTCAAAGTCTATTTCGGAGCTGGAAAAAAAAAAAAGAGAAATCTATAAAGCCCAGACACAACTATTCACATTGTTGGGATCCCCCCACTTGATTCTTTTTCACATATAACATCAGGAGCTGAAGACAACCTGCGTTTAACCCCTTGCATTGGGGTGTTGTTCTGGTGTCGCCATATCGTGGAGGTAAATGAGCCTTGGTTCTTAAAGGTCATACGAATGGAACACAAGCTAGAAACACTTCCAAGTGTGGGACTGGTAATAGACCAACTACATGTCTGAGAACAAACCCAGCAAAGTGCAGCAAGGCATGTCTCCAGAAGGGTGACCACCTTAAGGACTTTTTCAGTCACAGCTACCCACGAAGTTATCTCCTAAAGTACAGTGAAGGTTGTCATATGCCAAAAATGGAATTGTAGATCTTTAAGCATTTAAAGATATTTGAGTAAGTTTGTTTATTTAGGCAGAGGGGCATAGTACATAGAGTATAGAAGTAGAAGCCAGTATACACCTGAATTCAAATCCTGCTTCAGATATTTACAATCTAAGTGACCTTAGGCAAGTCACTTAGAATCTCAGGGCCTCAGTTTCCTTATCTGTAAAATGAGGATAATAATAACTGTAGGGTTATTATGGGCCTCAAATGAACTTTAGTGGCTTTGAAGTGCACTAAGACTTTTGGGACACCCTGAACCTAAAGCACATTGCCAAATTTAAAGTTACTATACAGTATAAATATCAGCTATCCTCATCAGGTTGACCAGAGGGTGATGTTTTTGTCCGCAGCCACTCTCCCAGACTTTCTGCTAAGTTATAGAGGAGTTAGTTCTTCTATGTCTGTATCCCAAAGAGATCATAAAAAGGGGAAAAGGATCCACATGTACAAAAATATTTATAGCAGCTCTTTTTGTGGTGGCAAAACTGGAAATTGAGGGGATGCCCATCAATTGGGGAATGGCTGAACAAGCTATGGTATATGAATGTAATGGAATACTATGGTGCTATAAGAAATGATGAGTAGGCAGACTTCAGAAAAACCTGGAAAGACTTACATGAACTGATGCAGAATGAAATGAGCAGAGCCAGGAGAACGTCATACACAAGTAACAGCCACATTATGGGATGACTAACTTTGATACACCTGACTCTTCGCAGTGATGCAAGAATCTAAGACAACTCCAAAAGATTCATTATGGAAATTGCTGTCCACACCCAGAGAAAGAAATATGGAGTCTGAATGCAGATGGAAGCATACTATTTGCTCTCCTTTTCCTTTGTTGCTTTGTTTTACAGCTTCATTTTCATGGTTCCTTCCTTCCATTAGTTCTAATTGTTCTTCACATCATGACTAATAGGGAAAATATGCTTAACATGAATGTATATGTAGAGCCTATATTAGATTGTATGCCGTCAGGGTGTGGGCGGAGAGGGGGGTTTAGAAGCGGGAGGGGGAGAAAATTCAAAATTCAAAATCTTTTGGAAGTGAATGCTGACAACTAAAAATACATAAATTAATTTAGAGGACTTGGTTGCAACTCTTGTTGGTGGAGGGAGCACCCATGTAGATGAAACTCCATATCTGAAATACTGAAGTCTTCTTTGCTGCATATCCTGGTAACACTGAGAGTGGCAGAAGGGGAAGTTGTTTGCTGCAAACATACTGACTCAAGAGCCAGAAACCTGGGGGTTGAATCTGGGCTTAGCTCTTGGTATTAACCAAGAATCACAACTCCAAAAGACTTTAGTAATAACATATTTATTACAAGAGAAAGCAGCATGCATGCTGGGTCCCCTCTTGTACAGAATACAAAGGAGGCCCCTTCACACTGGCTACCTTCAGCAAATTATTTAACTTTGTGTACCTTAGTTTCCTCATCTGTAAAATGAAAGGGTCAGACCAGAAGATCTTAAAGGTTCTTCTTCCAGATCTAAATCTACGATCCCATAAAATGCCAGACTGAGTTATTCACTCTCACTCTCTAAAATAATATTTCATAGAATGTTAGGGCTGGAGAAGAACTTAAAAATTCAATGGACTCCAAACTTTTTGTTTTGGCTTTTTGGTAACGAAATCAGGATTAAGTGACTTGCCCAAGGTCACACAGCTAGTGTCAAGGGCCTGAGGCTAAATTTGAACTCAGGTCCTCCTGACTTCAAAGCCAGAGCTCTATCCACTGCACCACCTCCAAACATTTTTGATCACAAGTCATCACATATTTATGTTTCTTCATTTATTCTTCAGTCATATCTGACTCTTTGTTATCCCACTTGGGGTTTTCTTGGCAATATATTGGAGTGGTCTGCTATTTCCTTCACCAGCTCATTTTATAGATAGTGAAACTGAAGCAAAGAGGGTTAAGTGACTTGCCCAGGGTCACATAGCTAGTAAGTGTCTGAGGCCAGATTTGAGCTCAGGA